GACGTAATCGGTCTACAAATGCGGCCTCAGGAGTATGCAGCCCATGAATTTGGACACGACCATTATCTTTCCAGTGTCGCTTGGGTCTGGCTTGGACTTTCTCCTGGTAGGACATCCCTGAAACACCTCACCCTAGGAGGTCCCAGAAGGCATCCAAGTCAGATGCCTGAACTACCTACCTTGGATGTGGAGGAATGACTCTGAGTTCCTTATAAATGACGCAGCTTCTCTCGCTATCTCCAAGACAGGTGCTAATTCTTATCCCAAACACTTCTCACGCAGCTGGATGAACCCAACAAAACCACACTATCCTCAAAAAAGCAGACACAGGATCCTGGTCTTTCTCAGGTCAAAAATGTAGTCCACAAGAATTCTGTACTTTAGGCCAGTCCGAATCGGTCATTGTGGACATGTAAGCATAACAGCCTCCACCACTCACTGCCATGTTGTACAATATTTACACCACTGTGATGGCTAAAAGTGAAAAACAAACCATGGGCATCGTGTCAGTGAGTGCACATGTTGCAAGCTGCTTTGTTAAACGTTGAATATATCAGAGAACCTGATTAGCCTTTGTTTGTAGCAGTAATAACAGTGATAAATGTGCTCTCAGGTGTTATCTCTGAAACGATAAGTGATGTTTTTCATAAAAGAAAAGGTCTTGGTGGGCAGCTGTGTGAAAACAGTGACTCATTTTTCCCTGTTTGACACTGACCTCACTCACTTCCTGCATTACACAGCTTTACACTTTGCCTTGAAGTTTATTCTTTTTTGTATTGATTCAAAAATTGCACGTATACTTATGCATTTTTCCGATCCTTTTTCAGGAGCCTTTTTGTGTACTTTACTTACACAACAGCCTGCATGTTTGCAGTGTTCAGCACCAGCTCCGGATGTAGCGTGAGAATACTCTCAACCAACCAACCACAACCCACATGCCACTGACAATGACATCGCTCTGCCCGAACCAGCCGATGAAGCGCTTTTCATTGAACATGAGGATTAGAATCCAGTGGTCCCTCGCTTCCTCAGAGGCCCATCCAACTCACACAACACACATAACATCACATACGATCAGTGGGAAAAGCCATAGATGGATACAATGTTGCTGTGTATTTTATTTGGCTTAACGCTTTTAAAGAGGGTAAAAGTGACTTCCAAGTCAGAATGTTTGGATATATTTCTGTTCCTTCTATTGTGACAGAATTGTGTGTAGTATTAGGTACAGCTAAATGCTTGCTAACAAGCTAACATCCCAGTATTAATGTAGTAGTAGTGCAGTAGTGGCATGCAGAGATTGGATTTTCTGCTGCAGAAGAAGAAAAACAAATCTTCCTCCACTCTTTAACACGACAAACTGGACCAGATGAAAACAAAACCTGATTTTGTGCTGCCTGTCTTATTATTTTATATGTGCTGCACTGCATGGATATCTTCATTTTTTTCGCTCCTTCTGGGCTCAAGAATTGTAGTTAGAATATTTACAATTCTCTAACAATGGCAAGTGCAGGAAAAAACATCAAATGTTTTTTCATCAAATATATAAAGCAAGATATATGTAGCAAAACCAAATTCATAAATAACTCTAAGTCTTATATTTTAGATTCCACAAGGTAGCGACTCTTTGCTTTGTTGATAGTGCTGCAAACCTTTGGCCTTCTCTCAATGAGCTTCATGTTGTAGTCACCTGTCAGGGTTCATTTGTGGCCTTTCTTGTCTTCTTAATGGGGTTGGGACCATCAGTTGTGTTGCGCAGAAGTCAGGTTGGTAAACAGCTGACAGCCTATTTGACAACTGTTAGAATTCATATTATGACCTAGAACCAGTCAGCTAAGTAAAGACAAACGACAGTCCATCATTACTTTGAGAACTGAAGGTCAGTCAGTCGAAAAATTGCTACAACTTTGAACGTGTCCTCATGTGAAGTTGCAAAAACCATCAAACTGGCTCACATGAGGACCGCCCCGGGAAAGGACGACCAAGAGTCGACCTTTCCTACTGAGGATAAATTCATCCAAGTCACCAGCCTCAGAAATGGCAAGTTCTATCTGTCAAACTCTTTTTTCACTTTCCCCTCATTCCTTGAACAAGACCTCAACATACTTTAACTTTTCCGCTTTGCATAGCAATTAGTTCCCGAACTGGAAGGGGCGCTCCATCTTTCCATATCTGCACCTCAGATTAGAGTCCAGATAAATGCCACACAGAGTTCCAGCAGCAGACACATCTGTACATCAACTGTTCAGAGGAGACGAATGTGGTCTTCATGGTCAAATAGCTGCTAAAACACCACGACTAAGGAAAAGCAACAAGCAGAAGAGATTTGTTTAGATTGGTGGAAATCTGTGCTTTGGTCTGATGAGTCCAGATTTGAGATCTTTGGTTCCACCTGAGTGTGTTTGTGTGATACAGAAAAGGTGAACTGATGGTCTCTACAAGCATGGAGGAGGAGGTGTGATGGTTTGCTGGTGACACTGTTGAGTATTTATGAACCAGCATGGCTACCACAGCATCCTGCAGCGACGTGCCATCAGTTTGTGTTTAGTTGGACCATTTATTTTTCAACAGGACAATGACCCCAAACACACCTCCAGGCGGTGTGTGAGGGCTATTTGACCAAGAAGGAGAGTGCTGGAGTGGCCTGGCCTCCACAGTCACCTGACCTAAACCCAATCAAGATGGTTTGGGATGAGATGGGCCGCAGGGTGAAGGCAAAAGGGCCAACAAGTGCTCAGCATCTCTGGGAACTCCTTCAAGAGTGTTCATGAAGCTCATTGAGAGGATGCCAAGAATGTGCAAAGCAGTAATCAAAGGGCGCTATTTTAAAGAATCTAAAATATAAAACATGTTTTGCGTAATTTCACACTTTTTTGCTTACTACATACTTTCATATCTGTTCATTCATAGTTTTGAAGAATTGCAGTGAGAATCTGCAATGTAAATAATTATGAGAATAAAGAAAAACCATTAATAATAATCTATGTATATACACTACTACTACTGTTCAGCTTGCTGCTTTGGGAGTTGCCATCGTTTTTTGGGTTTTTTTTGCTTGCCTGTTTTTTATAACCAAATGTGACTATATTTGGATAAGATGGCATTAAGTAGCGCTAGTTCTGGGTAGCTGACGTGTGACTAAAAGCAGCAGCTACACTTAATTTTACATAGAGTTTGTAAGAAGGGGGAAAATAGATTTTTTAGGTTTTGTATCAGATTGCATATTTTGTTTTGTTTTTTTGTTCTTTTACTGTAAAGATTATTGTAAAGGGAATTTTAACATCTGGGCTGTGGTGACAAACTTTAGCATAAATTTGCTAATTTTGTGCCAGTTTTGTTTTCATTTTTGAGGAACTACAGTTTCACTGACGTTTTCTCCATCCCGAGGTTACTGCTTGTTAAAAAGCAATCCAAATGTAATGATCTAATCTTGGTATGAGTTTTTATTATCAACACTATAATTACACGATCCATTAATCAGCCACAGCCAGGTTAAAAAAAGCCCAGCTGTTCTTCATTGTTGTTATTGTGTAAGAGGCTTTGAATGGATTCATGTGCCTGTGAGTCGGCTTATAGATGAGCCTTGGCACTTCACCGTTCACGGCTAATGGATTCACGAGTGGCTCTAAATAGGCCACGGCACACGAGCAGTCCAATGGCAGCAGCCAGGCCATGAATAATGCATGGAGGTAGATTCAAAAATGACTTCCGGCTTCAAGGTTTTTACTGAAACACTGCTTTTGAAGAAGTAAAGAGGCAGAACTTTTAATGTTCTTGTTAAAAATGCCACATACATTTTGCCATCATCAAATGATTCTTCGCTTTACTGTCTTCTTTTATTATTTACACTGATATATGAGGGCGTTTAGCAAGTATCAGTCACCACAACCTCCATTGCTTTTTAAATCAAATGATTTTCATCATGTTTTCTTCTTACTGGTTTGTCTGTCTTCACACTGCAGCTGGAAATAACCGAGCTGAAAGGGCTTAAACCCTTCTCAAGTACATAATATGCATATGCGCACACACACACACACACACACACACATGCGCACACACACACACACACACACAC